GTATGTTTAATTTGAGGGGAATGGAGGGGAGAAGAGAGGAGGAGAAAAAATTATTTTATTTGGTTATAAAAAAATTGAAAGGGAGGGGGGAGGAACTTTATTTTTCTTTATTTTATCTTTTAATTTGGTTACTTATCCAGTTGGGGGAAAATGAAGGGAGGGGAATAAAGGGGAATAGAAGGAAATAATTCTCTTTTCCCTCCTTCCCCCCCTTCCTTCCCCTCCATTCACCTCCACTTCCACTCCATTCATCTCCATTCCTCTCAACCTAAACATAGGATTAAAGTAAAAGCTAAGCCCTCTATTTTTCCTTTGATCTAGACAAAAGACTTAAAAGGTGTTTGGTAAAATTTAAAGAGTACTTACTTTAAAAATAAAATTTTCTCTCGTAAATTTAAAATTTTATTGAAAAATTTGTAAGTTAATTTTTTTTTAAAATTTGTTTTTAATGAGTCTTAAACAAATTTTAAAAAAATTTCAAACTATGAAGAATAATGTAATTTCGTTGAAAAGTAAATTAAAACATTTGACATCAATCAAATGTGAACCAATGATATTATCAATACCACTAAGTCCTCAAGATTATCTTCTCTTTGGAAGGATATTTTATCCATTTACAAGGAATGCGATAGAGCCACCATGTGCTTCTCAAATGGCTTCTCACATCAGCTTAGTGATGGCTCTAAAACCAACCTCTGGAAGGATATTTGGCTAGCAAACTCTCCTTTAAAGCTTGAATTTCCTTGTCTGTTCAATCTCACTTTAGACAGACTTGATAGTAGTTGATTTGAAACCAACCATTAGGGAGGGCTGGAATCTTCAATGGCATAGATCCCTTTTTGGAAGAGAACTGGATGAGCTTGAGATGTTGGAAGACATTCTGCGAAGTGTTACTGTTTCCGAAGGCAAAGTAGATAGAATAATTTGGAAGCACTACCCCTCAAGATATTATGCAAAAATGGCATACTTGTTTCTCAATGTGTCTCTTCCCTGCCTTGATGAGAATGTTTGCAAATTAACATGGAATCAATTGATGCTTGCTAAAGTTAGTGTCTTTGCCTAGCGCCTCTTCTTAAATCGCCTCCCCACCAAGGATAACCTCATATGGTAGGGTGTTGATTTAGCATCCAACCCACTATGTGGCCGATGTAATAATTATATGGAAGATGCAAACCATGGTTTTGCTAAGTGCAGATTTTCTCAAAGTCTTTGAAGCTGTATATGTTGTTGGTGGAGACTCACATTTATCCCTACGGATAACATCTCCCATTTGCTTCTTCAGCTTTGCTCACTTTCAACCCCAAGGAAAGCATGGCACTATTGGGCTCTTCCCATCTTTGCAACAACCTGGACCATTTGGCACGTCAAAAATGGTGTTGTTTCAACAAACTTTCCTGGGATGAGAGTAATATTATAGACTTAGTGCAGCTTTAAACTTTTGTTTGGATTAAAGGAAGCTTGAAATTTGCTGGTTTTTGCTTTAGTGATTGGTGTCAAGTTCCCAATCCTTTGTGCAATCCAGTCTCAACTCCTTCCCTTCCTTCTACTCTATATTTTCTAAATATAATGGGTGAGTACCCCTTGTACTCTTTCTTTAAATAAAATTTTGATTTATCAAAAAGAAAAAGTGAACCAATGATTAACATTTGTGAATAGGTCTAATGTAAGTAAAAATCCTTGAACTTTGAAAAAGAAGTCATTATTTTGCTCTATTGAAAAACAATTCATAATAATCCTTAAACTTTGGTGAGAAGGCCGAGTGTCATTCTTCTGTCAACGGACATCTTGACGCTGTCCAAAAGTTTGTTAAGCTCTCTATTAAGTTCAATGGTGTTTCCTATGTGGCGCTGATGTGGCACTAACTTGGACCTTTCTTTTTGGCCAACATGTATTATGGATCTATTTGAATAGAAACTGATTTTTTTTGGGTAATGCTATAAGGACTAGATTGGTCTCCAAGCTAATTGGTCCCCAGCTATAGTTTTTTTGTTTTTGCTTCTTAAATTAAATTTTTTTTATCAGCAAAATAAATATTTTTATTATTTTAACGAGTATAGAGGGTACTCCAATCCATCTACAAAGTGAAAAGACAAGAGCAATACAAACAAACCCAACAGCCAAGAAAAACTATAATCAAACCCAAAAAACCAGCAAACGAACCATTCCTACCATTTATCCGTTCATGCCACCCTCTGTTTCTGCTCATAGAATACCTTCCATAACCTTTTATGCCGTTTGACTTCTACAGCAACTTGCATTGGATTATTCTGCCACTTGGAAAAGGAGAAAACACACCCCTTCATCTTAAGCTTAATCTAGAAAAAAGTCTTGGCTTGCACCATATTTACCACCCTTTCCCTAAAAGTCTCAATATTCTTAAAGATTCTAATATTCCTACAATACCAAATATACCAAGAAACAACAAGGAAAACGCACGCTTCCATTTCCTTCCCTACTATCTTACCCAAACCATATAGAAAAAGCTCTGCAACTCCTACTGTATTTGATAACACAGCTTCAATACCCCACCAGTGCAGCACCTGTACCCAAACTAACCAAGCTTTCTTGCATGTACAAAATAGATGATTAGCCTTGTCCATCACCCCATTACACAAACCACACATTTAGCCTGCCCCTGCAACACCACACCTCTTTTTTGTAAGTTTGCCTTTGTTGGGAGTCTATCAAGACACAACCTCCACCCAAAAAAACCCACCTTTGAAGAAACTAACCTAGACCAAATCATTCTACAAAACTGATCCGCAAGAAGGCACTTCATAGGAGCCAAAATCTCATAAGCTTTCTTCACCACATATCGTCCTTCCGAGCCATGTACCCACCACCAGCGATCCTCCTTTCCTCTCTTTAATTGCACACGGCCAAGCATCTCCCAGAAGACCTCTTCTTCATCCCTCACTCTTCCTAACCTCTCTTTTCTCCACTTCATATTCCATCGCCACCTATCTTCTTCCCATTCGCCCATCTCATTAACCAGACCCTCCTTATTGACAGCCAACTCATGTGATCAAGGACATAAATCCCTTCACGACCTATCTCTAACCCATATCTCTCTCCAGAACCCCACTCGATTGCCATCTCCTAGCTCCCATCTAAAACCCTTCACCACCATATTTCTTGAACCCACTGACATCCCTCCTATTATAATAATATCACTCCAAATCTTAGACATTCTTACACTTTCCAGTGCAGTAATATCCACCTCCTTTGTACCTCCATAATATTTTTCCCATACCACTTGTTTCCATAAACTCTCCACTCCATCACCCAATCTAACCCACCACTTCCCAAGTAATGCCCAATTCCTCCTACGCAAATCCAGCA